TTTTGCATAAAACCAAATCTGCTTTTCCAGTCATTATTATAAAATATAATTCAAAACTATTCATTAAAATTTTATTCGCCATGATCATTTTTCTGATTGACGTCCAAGAATAAAATGAAAGATGTTTTGACAATAAAAAGACCAAAGTAACTATCCTACTGCAAACCCCCCCCCCCCCTAAAATCAGAAGGTGTGAGATATTTATGCTAAACATAATAGTTATTAAATATTGACTAAAAGTGAGGAAAAACAGTGTAAAAGTTGATGTATTGTTACTACCATGGTCTGTGTGTCCTGGGCCTGAAACTGATGCTCATGAATTACAGCGGGATTCAAACACTTGTTCTGTGTTCCAGATGAAGACGCTCTGGAGGAGGGCATGACTGTCCTGCACGCCGGCCTGCATGAGTTCGCCTTCAGCTTCAACCTGCCTCAGATGTGAGTGTCCTCAGAGTTCATTCAGCGCACCACTCCATCTGCAAGAACTGACCCTTTTAAAATTAGCAACTTGCATATGGAGATTGTATAATCTGATGCAAAGGTGTCTTTTCATGTTGATCATCTGAGGCCCTACTTGGAGCCTCTGAAGGGGCCCCACACCTCCGCCTGGAGCCCTGAACTAAACTAACTAACCAACCATGTATGAAGCAATTAAAACTAACTCTGTCTCAAGCAGCTTCAGCTCTTCAGAAAATATGCAGGGTCAGGAAAGTCATTAAAGCTTTGGCCTGAAGGAAAGGAATGGTTGGGTTTGACTGGACCACCCACATTTCTGGGCCTCACTCCGCCTCTCTCCTCTCTCCTGCAGGGCTCTGGCCACTTCGTTTGAAGGGAAGCACGGCAGTGTGAGGTACTGGGTGAAAGCCGAGCTGCACCGGCCCTGGCTGCTGCCTGTCAAAGTCAAGAAAGAGTTCATTGTGTTCGAACACATCGACATCAACACGCCCCTCCTGCTGGTAGGAGCTGCTGCTTTATTCATTGGAGTCTTTAATAGTATCGCCTGCGGCTAAATCAGATGGATGTGTGTATATGTGTGTGTGAACAGGCCCCCCAGGCTGGGACGAAGGAGAAGACTCTGTGTTGCTGGTTTTGCGCGTCGGGTCCAATCTCCCTCAGTGCCAAAATAGAGCGGAAGGGCTACACACCAGGTGAGCCACGCCTCTTCTTTACGTTCATCCTCCTCTTCCTCTCAGTATTCCCCTCTAAAGTTTCACCTGTGTCCCTTCCTCTCTCAGTCTGACAGACTGATCTCTTCTCCCCTCTCTCCCAGGCGAGTCCATCCAGATCTTTGCCGAGGTGGAAAACTGCTCGTCCCGTGTCGTGGTGCCCAAAGCGGCGCTGTACCAGACACAGACCTTCTTCGCCAAGGGCAAGGGCAGGCAGATCCAGCAGTTGGTGTCCAACCTGCGGGGAGAACCTCTGCAGCAAGGGAAGAGCCAAAGCTGGGAGGGCAAGCTGCTCAAGATCCCCCCGGTGTCGCCCTCCATACTGGACTGTCCCATCATCAGAGTGGAGTACGCCCTCATGGTGAGTACAGAGTGACTGTCGGAGAGTCAAGCTAATTGCTTCCCCTCCCACTATCCACTAGTGTCTGGTGACAAACATTCAGCATTAGGAACATAAAGATGTGAATGAAGTTGCATGTTGAGACGTACATGAGGTGTGTGAAGTACTCAGGCCAACTGGTAACGTTAATTAACTGAGGGATTAAATGAGTTTATGCTTCTTACTGCTCCTTTTACAGACACATTAGGTAATCATGCATATTCATAAAATGAAACCACATGCTCACAATAAAGTTTTCAATTCAAATTCTAAAATTAAATTACAGAATTAAATGTGAACAAAACTTTTATTAAAAACACTAAAAACTAAATTCGCTACCATTTTCCATAAACACATCAAAATAACAGATTAATTATCCCTACTTGTAGTTTTTAAATTTTGAATAACATGAGACTAGGTACTATTACTGTAAGACAGAGGTTCCCAAACTGTGGGGCGCGCCCCCTAGGGGGGGTGCCGTGTCATTGCAGGGGGGGCGCGGGAAG